CGCCACAATCCCTTCTCCTCCATTCTCCTCTTGGGATCTTGGGCACGCACGCACACGTGCCCGACTTGAGTTTGAAGCCACCGGGTCTAGGCCCTGAACCGCAGTCGACTACATGGGAGTCCAGCGACATAGCCATTACGCTAACTGCTGGTTCCCAATAAATAAATTATTTAAAACAAAAAACTTGGGGACCAGCAGATAGCACAGTGGTTACATTTTTGGACTCCCACATGGCCAACCACCGTTCAAGTCCTGGACCTAGTGGCTTGAAAATCATGCCAGGCACGTGTGTACGTGCCCAAAATCTGGAAGGAGAATGAAGGAGAGGAGATTGTGGTATGGTCATCCCTGCTGGGGGGTTATTACTCACTTTTCCTGTCACTGTCTCTGTCTTTCTCTCGAGTGGGGGCATCTGCCCTAAGGCAAAATCCTCTTAAAAAAAAAAAAAAAAAAGAAAAGAAAGAACCAATTGAGGTGGGCCATCAGATGGTGTGATGGTTAGGGAGCTGGATCCCACACTGCTGAGTCCTGAACCTAGCTGCTTAAGAAACATACGGAGCGAGTATATCTGTATGCCCAAAATCCCGAGGGAAGGGACTATGGAGTGGCGAATCCCCCCTAACAGGTGATTTCTTACTTTCCTCTCTCTCTGTCTCTTTACATGGGCCCTGTGACCAACAAAAAAGATCAATGAGGAACAATCTTTTTTTTTTTGAAAGGTTTTTTGCTATAGGGCACATGCGCTCGCCAGAAAGACAGAGAGACAGAAGGCGAGAAATCACCCCCCAGGGAGTATGGCCATGCCACAATCCTTTCTCTTCCAGTCTCCTCTCGGGATCTTGGGCACGCACGCACATGTGCCCAGCGTGAGTTTAAACCACCAGGTCCAGGACTCAAACCGCGATCAACTACGTGGGAGTCCAGCGATATAGCTATTACACTAACTGTTGGTCCCAATGAGGAACAATCTTAAAGATAAATTGTTCGATGGAAAAAGCAAAATGGAACCAGTGATATCGTTTGTATCAAAAAAAATCTACACTCATGGATGTTTGTGGTAGCGGGGGCTGTTCTGTTACTAGAGTGGGCAAGAGGAAGAGTTACTCTTTATTGTATCCAGCTGTATGTTTTGAATTTGTATTATAAATTCGTATTTACCTGTAGAACTCATCAGTAAGCAGTGTACAGCTAAGCGGGCAACAACTCCAGATTTTTTTTTTTTTCTATAAGGGGGAATATATGGAAACAAGGTAGGTGCTGTAGATAGCCCTGAGAGTGACCTGCTGAAAAATCAGCACTTGTTCAAATTTATATCTACTTAAAATCTCTTTTCCCATTCTGTTGGATAATCTTGTGTATAATTCTTTACCAATAAGGATCTCACAGATATGACTATGGGAGTAGCTGTTTCTAGGTGTCCGTTAGCAGAAGGGGTGCTTTACAGCTGATAAAAACTGCACAGTGCTTGCCTTTCTTCCTGCAGGTACATAAACTGGAGCCTGAGGCGTGGAAACACGTGGAAGCCATATATATAGATATTGCAGATCGAAGCCAAGTCCTTAGCAAGGTAGGAACTATTTAAAGATGTGGGTTGCCTTCGAGATCTAGAAGTGACTTCTTTCTATGAGAGAAACTAGGGACCCATACCCATCATAGCTTAACAGGAAGTTCTCCCTGATGTGTATTGCTTGTTTTATTTTTGAAGTTATTATTAAGAGTTCCCTTATCTTGAGTTGGAGATACCACCAGGAAAACAGTGGGCCCAGTTTATGTGTCCTGTTTGGCCTCGAGAGTCTCACTGGACAGAATAAGTGCTGTAGGTGTGTGTTTTGTCCTCCTGCAAATCAGAGCATTAGTTCCCACATTTATTTTTCCAATTCAGTAATTTAAAACACTTCTTACTTGCCTGTTGTGTTTGGAATACTGTCTTAGGTTCTCTAGGTTCCAGGTGAAGGGTGCAGAAAATATGAAAAGACAGGGCCCCTGCGCTCAATAAGTTGGTGGTGGCTTGTCAGAGTAGCAAACACTGCAGCAGGCGCCTAGGAAAGGACAGTTCACCACTAGACTATAAGCTTGGTGTGCATAGGGACTGTCTTGCTTGCTCACTGTTAGGCTCCAGGAAGTATATGGTCAGGGAATCGAAGGATTAGGTTCCCCATCATCCATTGCTGTACTTGACAGAGGCCTTGGGAGTAGGAGACAGGAACTGAACTCTCTGCCCAGCCATAGGGAGTAAGTCCTTGCTCATTGTGTCCTGGGAGTAGATACTTCTTTCCTGTGGTCACTCTGTATGCTTATGATATTTTGATTTGGGTATTTCCAAAATGATACAAAAGCCATTTTGTACTTTTGCTTCTAATATCCCTACCTCCACCCTCCAAAGATTTGTGGATTTTTCCAAAAGTTTTTATTTATTTAAATATAACATATGTAGCAAAACGAATATGTTATCATGTATATAGCTTGATACATTTCCTCAAACCAAATATACCTAAGTATTACTCAGATAGAACATTAGCAAGAAGTATGGTTCTTTGAGTATTTTGTCAACTGGTTGTCCCACAAGATGAAAGAAAGCAGTAGTGGACAAGATTTATTTTTTTAAAGCACACTTAATAATATCCTTAGCTTTGGCATATACTTTAGGAGCGTGTCTCTGTGTGTAATATTTATTATCTTCGTTATTTTTGTTAGGTAGATGCCATAATGAGCTTACTTTTCCTTAAACCCACATTAGTCAATGTAGAGAGACAGCTGACAATTAAGCTTTCGTTGTGGTTAATTAACACAGAGAACTGACTGTATTCCAAATCAGTGAAGTGAAACTGACCAGCAATGCACAAGAGGATAGGTTCTATATATTGGACATTTCCAATAATGATTTTATGAATACAAGCCAGAGCGAGATTGAACTAGAAGATTTCAAGAACGATAGCCAGTTGTTCTCAGCTGTGGCTTTCTTTTATTGGGTCGTCGGGAAAGTCATGACGTGTTTTTTTTCTATGCAAAAATGTGTCATGACTTTCCCAATGACCCAATAGCGTGACCTGCAAATATTAAAAAAAAAAAAAAATCCATGCTGCCATCACCTGCAGATAGTTTTATTCACTGGACTTCAGAAAGGGTGGCCTAGAAATATATATTTTGAGAAAGTCTGCCATGTAAATTGTGGATGCTCACCCCAGGCTGAAAAATCTCTGTCTTCAACACTAGAAATACATGTTCCTGCTCAGACAGTCTGGTGACACATTCATACTGGTAAAATCGAAAACAAACCCTGGCAGAGAGAAATGACAGAATTCTCCTCTGAGACAAATGTAAACAGTTCTACATCTTATTTATGACATTGTCCATATTTGCTGTGTGCTTGCAGCATCAACAACTGGTATCAGCTATACTCTAATGAAAAAAATCTGATTTCCCTCTCCCTGTCTCTCCCTCTCTCCTCCAACCCCAATTCCACAACTTCTCTCAGGATTACAAGGCAGAGGAAGACCCAGCAAAATTTAAATCTATCAAAACAGGCCGAGGACCCTTGGGCCCAAATTGGAAGGTGCAGTTCACACCCTAACCACTAGGAGGCTGGGCACGGTGCGGGTGGGCCTGTCTCCATGGAAGAGGGAAATGTGAATGGCGGGGGCTGGGTTAGGGGACAGCCTGAGGTCTGTCCTCTTAGTTACAGGGCTGCCTGTGGATGTGTTTCTAATGCAGCAAGAACTCGTAAATCAGAAAGACTGCCCGTATATGTGTGCATACAAACTGGTCACTGTCAAGTTCAAGTGGTGGGGCCTGCAGAACAAAGTGGAAAACTTTATACATAAGGTAAGTGACTGGGGTAAGGCTTTACAGTGACGTGTGTGTGTGTGTGTGTGTGTGTGTGTGTGTGTGTGTGATGTTTTGTTCTACAAGGAAAGATCATATAACCCCTGTGACCTGTATCTTAGGATCACCAACATTAGACTATTTCAGAGTTTGGTTTCCAAGACCCCTGCTTCCCTTCACACATAACTGTCTTATAGTTGTGTTAATGTTGCTATCCAGAAGTACCACACATACAGGGAAGGAAACTGAGGCAAAGGAAGGAAACAGGAAGGGACTTGCTGTGCTCCAATTACACATCAAACCCAGTCTGTCTTCTTGAAGCCAAGGGAAGAGGCAGTTTGAGCCAAAATTCTTGTGCCCTGAATTACTCAACTTACTGACCTAAGGAGTTTTATAGCCTTTTAATTCTCTGATGTGTTAGAGCCTCACCCTTGGACCACACTTCATAGCTGCTGGCTAGTACTAACATGGCACTGGGCACCAGGAAGAAGGAGGACATTTGGCAATTATCTTGAAGCGTTGGCTGGCCCGGGAGTTCATGGACTGCCCATCTTGGTAATATTAGATTGTCAGGAAAGTCACGACGCATTTTTGCACAGAAAAATGCATCGTGACTTTCCTGATGACCCGATGTTTTGGGCAGAGGGCCTAGCTGTGAGGTAGGTACCCATTCTTTCTTGGGGGCTCCCCTACCTGTTAGGCTTGTGAAGGCAAAGGTCACTGACAAGTGACTGACCCAGGAAAGCAGCCAGGCTCCTCTCCTCCCTGCTTCCCCAGGATGGTGGGTGTTAGTGCAGAGGGCCTAGGGAGGAGGGCTGCAGCATAGCAGTGGCCTCACCTGCTGGGTTCTAACTTGGTCCCCTCCTTTTTATAGCAAGAGAAGCGTCTGTTTACAAACTTCCACAGGCAGCTGTTCTGTTGGCTCGATAAGTGGGTTGACCTGACCATGGATGACATTCGAAGGATGGAAGAAGAGACGAAGAGACAGCTGGATGAGGTAAGCGGGATCCCAGAGGAGTTCGGTGCTCTCGGTTAGATAAATCCGTGAATATTAAGGAGACTGGCGAGCTGGGGCACTTCGTTGAGAGCACTGTCCTTGTAGTTCTAGGAACCCGTCAGTGTCTGCTCTGGGTAAAGAGTCATGCCAGGCAGCATGAGCCCTCGAAGGAGAAAACAGCCTGTGTTCTTGGATCTGCGGTCTAGTTGAGGTCTTGGCATACCCACAGGGACATATATGGTAGCATGTGCTGAATGCCAAGTGAGTAATGCAGCTGTCGCAGTGCTTCTTCAGAGCCAGGTGCAGGGACTATGCTGGGCTGCAGAGTTGGAGGTGACCCTGAGAAGAGGCAGGCTGGGCTGATCTGTGAACACCATGTGCATTACCCACAGAGGACAGCACAGCACACGCAAAAGCTGACTGTTCTATAAGGTGGTTTTGAGCTATTTTTAGAGTTGGGAGCTTTTTGCCTTCTTTCTTTTTCTTTTTCTTTTTTTGCTTTTTATTTGGCCTTGGCATGGATCCCAGAAAGAGGGCTGTCTTTTCCATGGGAGCCTGAAGACCCAGCCTTTCTCCTGCCTCATTTGGGAATGCTTCCCAGAGAGGCCCACTGGGAAGAGAGTGTCAGTAGACAGCAGTCAGGCTCTTCCTGTGGGCTGAGCACCATTCCAAGGGCCTTTACGTATACCTTCTCTCGTGAGGCGCCATTGTTACCCCCCTCTATAGAGCGAGCGGAGGTTCTGTGAGCTCAGTGCTACTGTGCCATTGGCAGGTGGTGTGCCAACATAGTTCCCATTGAAGGCAGATGTTTCGGTTTTTCTTCAACTACAGTTGACAGTGAAGTGGTCAGATTTGGGCACCTTCCCTGATTCTTCTGCTAAGGATCCTTAGGAGGTGGAAGGCCTTAATAAGTCCAAGGCTTGGGGCTGGCAGGTGCTGTTGTAGTTAAGGTGCTGGACCTACGTATGGTGGATCACTGTTGGAGTCCTGGACCTGGTGACTTCCTTTCTCACTTTCCCTCTCACACTATCTTTCTCTGGTCAAATTTTAAAACTAATAAATAATTCTTTAAAAAAAATTCCAAGGCTTTGGCAATTCTGACCATCTGAATTGTACTGTCTGCAGGTGGTAGGGTCACACATCCAGGGCTGTCTGCCCCTGGAACCATAACTCTTTTTTTTTTTTAGGAGTTATTTATTTAATTGTATTCATTTATTTTAATTTGACCAGAGAGAGACACACAAAAAGACAGAAAGTGAAAGCAAGCCACCAGGTCTGGGACTTGAACAGTGGTCAGCCATGTGGTGGGAGTGTCCAGTGCCTTAACCACCACGCCACCTGCTGACCCCACCAGAACCATCACTCTTAATCACTCACTTCTCCACCTCCCTGTAAATGCCCTTTGGGGCCTTCGTGCCTACTCAGGGTAAAAATAAATCCAGAATTTGTGTCGTAAGAACTGCCATCCGCTTCTCCCCAGGCTCCTGGGTGGAGCCTGGGCATCCAGCAGATGCCTCACTCTGCATCAGCCTTGTCCAGCTCTCCAGAAGGGTCTTGAGTGAGAGCCAGGCTTGCGTGCCTGTGGTACCCTTGCTACATAGTGGGCATAGCGGGAAGATGCTCCCCACTTCTCTGGGGTGGTTGAGGGTGAAATGGGCCGAGAAGCTCTTTCCTGTGGAGTCCCACAGGGAACTGTTTTTACCAGCTGGGATGACACTTCCTGGGCTGACTCATTGCTAAGTGGTGTGCTGAGTTAGTTCCTGTTGAAGGCAGACGTTTTGGTTGTTGTTCAGCTCGGACAGGCAGTGCAGTGGCAGGATTTGGGGCACCTTCGCTGATTCTTATGCTAAGGATCCTTAGGGAATAGAAGGCTCTGGCAGTTCTGACTGTGTGAGAGAGGCCCAAGTCTTTTGGTCACCCCCTAGTTCTGACAAAAAGAGAGAAAACTGTTACCAACCAGAACACAGAGGTGTTCACAGGGCTTTGGCATGGAACTTTAGCCACCCACATTCTGTAAACGTGCACTGGGCTCAGGGACACGTGCTGACCCCCTTTTGCCCTTTGGGTAAAACTCAAATTCTCAGAGCTGGAAGAACTCTCCAGGGGATCTACTGGGGCTGCCTTTATCAGACTCAGTAGTTGAGAGCTTTCAGAATTAGGGAGATGTTAGGACCAGCAGAAGGCGTAATGATCTTTTTAAATCAGTCCTGACAAGTTTTATCATTTGTTTTAAATTTGTGATAGAGCACATGCAGTCATCAGAGAGAGAGAGAGCATCCACCAGGGCCACACTGTAATCACTTCTCTATTCTCCTCTTGGGATTTGGGCATGGACACACATGTCCCCAATGTGAGTTTTCAAGCCTCCAGGTCCAAGAGTCAAATTTTGCAGTTGATGATGTGGGATCCAGCCACCTTCACCTTCACACTACCAGCTGGCCCAAGTTATTATTTTTTTTTTTTTTTTAAGAATTTGCTTTATTTTTTTGTTATTATTTTTCTTTCTTTTTTGTTTACTTAACTTTATTTATCTATTTATTTTACTTGTCCAGAGAGAGACATAGTGAGAGAGCGAGAGAGAGGAAAGTGAGAAAGCAAGCCATCGGGTCCAGAACTGGAACTATGCAGTAGCCCATGTGGGATCCAGCACCTTATCCGCCACACCACTGGCTGGCCTTAGTTTCATTTTATAGATGCAGAAACTGAGACTCAGAAGTTAAGGATACTGAACAAGAACCTCCTGGACCGGGAACCAGCAGTTAGCGTAATGGCTATGTTGCTGGACTCCCACGTAGTCGACCGCGGTTCGCGTCTTGGACCCGGTGGCTTAAAACTCACGCCGGGTGTGTGTGCGTGTGTGCCCAAGATCCCGAGAGGAGAATGGAAGAGAAGGGATTGCAGCATGGCCATCCCCCCCGGGGGGGGGGATTTCTCGCTTTCTGTCTCTCTGTCTCTCTCTGTCTGTCTGGCGAGTGCACGCGCCCTATAGTGAAAATCTCTCCAAAAAAAAAAAAAGAAAGAAAACCTCTTAAAAAAAAAAAAAAAAAGAACCTCCTTGGGCCATTAACACTGTAGACAATGAGACTGGGAAAGGAGAACTCATCTTAAAATTTTTAAGAAAACATATTTTTCTTTTACCTAGACTTTCTACAACCTTTACTGAGCCACAGCAAAGATATTGTGTATTAGAATATAAGGTTAAGATTCTGAAGGAAAATAAAGGTTCTGTAGCAGTTTCTGATGGATTGCTTCCCCTCACCCCCAATCTCAGCCTTCCCTTGTGGGCTTTTTTTTCCCCCTATGGGCGCGTATGCTTGCCACAGACACACAGAGAGACAGAGAGTGAGAAGTCATCCCCCAGGGGGATGGCCATGCCACAATCCCTTCTCCTCCATTCTCTTCGTGGGACTTTGGGCACTCATGCACATGTGCCTGGCGTATTTCAAACGACCAGGTCTGGGACTCAAACCACAGTCAACTATGTGGGAATTGAGCCCCTTAACAACTGTCCCACCTGCTGGTCCTCTTGTGAGTCTCTTTAAGTCCTTGATAGCGCCACTATTCCTTTGGTCCTTACATACCTAACCCTTTTGGACTTAATCCTTTGTGATAGAGCTAGGCTGTAGGATACCCTTGCTCAGGGTACCCTGGTTCACCTGGGGGCTCTCTCTGAGCCTGTCATAGCTGGGCTCCTTGTCCATATGTTTAGATACTAATGTGCCTACCCTTTCTCATCACCTGATTCTTTTTAATAATTATTTTATTTAACTTTTATTTATTCGTCCATTTACTTATTTATATTTTAATTTGGCCAGAGAGAGAGAGAGGGAAAGCAAGAAAGCAAGCCACCAGGTCTGGGACTCAAACCATGGTTGGCCATGTGGGAGTCCATCTCCTTTAACCACCACGCCACCTCCCAGCTCCATCACCTGATTCTTTTTTTTTTTTTTGGAGAGATTTTTTTCGCTATAGGGCGCGTGCGTTTGCCAGACAGAGAGAGACAGAGAGACAGAGAGACAGAAAGCACCCCCCAGGGGGGATGGTCACGCCGCAATCCCTTCTCCATTCTCCTCTCAGGATCTTGGGCACGCACGCACACGCGCCCGGCGTGAGTTTTAAGCCGCCGGGTCCAGGATGTGAACCGCGGTCGACTACGTGGGAGTGCAGCGACATAGCCATTATGCTAACTGCTGGTTCCCCATCACCTGATTCTTGATGCAGAGGGCCTTTGCTCCATTCTATGGCTTTTTAAAATACAGGGTTTTTGTTTTTTGGGTTTTTGCCATAGGGCACATACATTCACTGGAGAGAGACAGAGGGGGAAAGTGAAAAAACATTCCCCAGGGAGGATGGCCATGCTGCAGTCCCTTTTCCATCCTCCTCTTGGGATTTTGGGCATGCATGCACATATCCCTGCCATGATTTTCAAGCCACCGGATCTGAGACTCAAACTGCAGTCTTCCCTGTAGGAGTCCAGCACCTTAACCAACACCCACCTGCTGGTCCCAGTTCTTTTTACATGACAGATTACATGCACATGACAGAAAGGGAGGGAAGGAGGGGAGCATACTCCACAAGGCCTGATCAGTCTCTGATCCCCTTCCTCTGGTCGTCTATCCCACCAGGATCCTGGCCATGCATACATGTGACTGGCAGGTTTTTAGTTTGCTATGCTTCAACCTATGCCACAGTGGCTGAGCCTATCTATGGCTTTTTGACTGTTAAAGTCACCATCAGTTTTAGACTTAAGTCTTTTTTTTTTTAAGAGAGGTTTTTGCTATAGGGTGCATGCACTCACCAGAGAGACAGAGATAGAGAGACAGAAAGGAAGAAATCACACCCCAGGGATGATGGCCACACCACAATCCCTTCTTCTCTAGTCTCCTCTTGGGATTTTGGGCATAGATGCACACGCGCCTGGTGTGAAATTTAATCCCTTTCGACTACATGGGAGTCCAGCGATGTAACCATTAATCCACCTGCAGGTCCCTAGACTTGTC